TCCCGCATGAAGTAGGGGTTTGATGAGTGAATGAACGATGCATATCTTTCCCCGTTCAGATGAGCCCCCTGTGTTTTCGGGGTCAGGTTTCTGGTGGCTTGGCATGAACTCGGTGTTTAGGAAGTAGCCCTAGTCAAGGTCTTTTGGAAGCCACTCTACTACCTGCCACTGAAAAAGAGGCATCTACCACAGAGCCCAGGGGTGGGAGCCAGGTCCACTGCTCTCCTTTTCTTTCAGACACAGACTCTGCCTTCAGCTTCTCCGTTCATCTGCTCCCTTCACACTCTGGCTGACTCTCCCCGCACCAGGCAGGATCTGGCCACCCCCTAGAAGCGAGGACACAGTGCCTCAGGTTGGTTGATCAGCAGAGACTGGTGTCTCAGGGTCCTGAGTTCCCAGGAGAATCAGGTGGCCACTCTGGTCCAGTCAGTCTGGCCTGGGAGACATGGCTGCTGTCATCAGGAGCCCTCCCATGGGGTGCGGAAGCAGTTCTCAGGGGCCTGGGCCAGGCTGACTCCCTTGATGAGAGTCTGGTCCCTAATGAGGAGTTGGGGGCCTGGCTGGGCCTCAGGGACTGAAGGTGGATGAGTGGGGGTTTCTCTGGGCCCTGGAAAGGATACTCTGTTCTGCTTGGTCCTGTTGTTTCTTAGCATGTGAAATATCATTTACCTGAGAGTCACTGCCCGTAAGTTAGGCTATTTGTGTCCATGGTGAGACATGCAGGAGTCAGATCTCAAACAAGTGCTCTGTCTTTCTTTCCAGCCCAGGCTCCCCATAGGAAGCATAAGGAGTAACACACTGTGGCTGATGTGCTTTGTCTCTAGGTGGGCCAGAGGGGTGTGGGTGGGCAGATCAGGCCTCTTGGAGGAGGAGCCCTGCACTTAGACACCTGGACTCAGCCTGTGCTCCCGGGATGCCTGGGGCCCACAGCTGGGAACCCCTTTCCTGCCCGGGAGGCCTATGGTTTCACAGCATGATGCTGGGCTTTCTCGCAGTTAATTTTTTGTTCATTATTTTAGGAAAAAAGAATAGCTATAAATGAATAGAACTGTAGGATTAGATTAACACTTATAGTAACTAGTAACTTTGAGTGCTTGGTCTGAGGCTGGCCTGGGTGGAATGTTCTACATGCATTTTCTTGCTGGGTCCTTGTGGGCTTTTGGAGGAAGCCTGGACCCAGGCACTGGTGTCGACAGACCAGGATTTGAGCTCCCTAGCTCCACCACTCAACTAGCAGTCAGTTACATCACCTCTCAGAGCCTCAGTTTCCAGGAGTAGAAGAGTCTCCCCTGCATGGGGTTGTGAAGATGAAATGAGCTAGAAATGTAGCACCTAGCCTGGCTTTGCACAGCTGCTGTTCCCTGGGTGTGCTGCTGGTGGTGTGTGGACAGGGGCACCTAAGCACAACCCCCAATGATGCTGGAGAAATGGGCAGAGCTGGTGGCGTCCTTCAGACAGGATGCAGGGAGTACGCCAATGACTAGTCATGGAAGAGAGTGTGAGAATAAAATGTGGCACCTGTGTTGAAAGGCTGTGTGACTTGAGAATTTATGGTGTCAGGCAATTGGGGAGAGCCAAGGCCTTTGGTTGGGGCCAGGCTGAGCAGATTGGGCTCCATGTTGGGGCTCCCCTTGGTGAAGACCCGCAGAGTGCCAGGCATACCCTGAAAGGAGTGAAGCCCACGTCAGCCTGGAATGGGAGCAAGTTGGATCCATGGGGAGCATCAGGCTGGCTGTCTCTCATGCCCTCCTGCCATGGTGACTTGGGTCAGGTCACTTCAGTCTGGCTTGAGCTGATCTGAACACGGTCCATCCAACAAGCTGGTGGCTTCTGGCATTGAGAGCCTAGCTGGGTTGGCCCCGACTCCCAGTCCACATGAGCTGGTTTGTCTGGTCTGAGACAGCTCCTCAGCTTGAGCCAGTCTCATGCTGCTGCTTTGAGCTCTTGAGCTGGCCTTACTTTCAGCCTCAGTTTCTGGACTCCCCACTTTGAAGTCTCCAAGTTTCTCATGGGGTGTCTGTTGGAGGGTCCCATCCATCTGACGCCTGGGAGGCCTTCCCTTTGCTCCAGAGGCTGGTTCCCCTCCTCGCGGTCCTGTCTCTTCTGCACTGGAAATTCCTCAAAGTTTTTTGCTTATTAATAACCCTTCTCTCTTGTCATGTGCTAATGTAGTTTGTTTTTGTTATTTTAATATTTCTTGGATCATTTCAAAGGGATGTGGAAGGGGGCAGTTTAAACATGGGCGTTCAGGTTACCACCACGAAACCAAGCTGGTGGCGGCTACTTTTATTGCAGCGTAGTTTGCATACCGTAAAATTCACCCATCCCAAGTGTACGATTCTGTGACTTCGGGCGACTTTATGGAGCTGTGAGACTGTCACGATGATCCAGTTTTAGAACATTTCCGTCACCTCAGAAATGTTCTAAATCCCTTGTGCCCATTTGCAGACAGTCCTGCCTCCCCACCCAGCCGACCACTGATGGGCTCCTGTCTCTATGAATTTGCCTTTTTTGGACATTTCATGAAAATGGCACCCTACAACACAGTCTTTTGGGTCTGACCTCTTTCACTTTAAGCATAATGTTTTTGAGGTTTATTCATGTTATGGTTTTCATTTCTTTATTGCTGAGTAATATTCCACTGTGTGGATACATCACATTGTTGATCCATTCAGCAGTTGAGGAGCGTTTAGATTGTTTCCGACTTTTGGCTCTGATGAGTAGTTCACGTACATGTCTTTGTGCAGACATATGCTTTCATTTATTTTAAGGTAGCTACCTAGGAGTAGAATTGCTGGTCATTTGGTAAGTGTATGTTTAACTTTTTAAGAAACTACCAAACTATTTTCTAAAGGAGCTGTACCTTTCACCTCCCTACCAGCAAGGTACGAGGGCTCCATTTCTCCGCGTCCTTGCCAACACTTGGTACTGTCTTTTTCATTATGGCCGTCCTAGCGGGTGTGAGGTGGTAGCTCACTGTGGTTTTGATTTGCCTTTCCCTGGGGCATGTCCCTTCGCCATTCCTAGGCCTTCTTTCGCTAAAGGTCTCTTCCTATCTTTTGTGTAGCTGCCTTCCAAACCTGCCGCAGCCACGGGCTCAGGGTCCTGGGTAACAGCCCGCATGGCTTCTCCGAGGACAGAAATGATTAACAAATGAGTGCTTCCAACCCAACCCCTTTCCCTGCTCATGAAAGAGGAGTTTGGCGTCTGAGGAAAAACTTAGCCGACCTGTGCTTTTTTCCCTTTTCTTTCTTTTCCACTATGAAAATGGTAGCACAATCAGAAAAGTTGAGAGACTAGTGCAGTGAACTCTTGTCAGTGGATGTCAGTTGTTAGCATTTTGCTGTAGTTGCTTTATCTCGACTTCAGTGTGTTTCGTGGATTGATTCGAAACTAAGTCGCAAACTCACTTTAGCGCTGAATTCTGTCCCGCGTGTCACCCAGGTAGACTTTCTCCTACTTGATCTCCCTACTGCTGCTCTCGTGCCCCAGAAAATGAAGGGTAATTCGATATTATCTAAAATGTCCATATCCAGCTGTCCCCAGTTGGCCCCCAAATGTCATTCATAGCTCAGACTGGTTCTTGTCAGTGTCTGGGGGAAGAAAGGAGGGAAGGTGGACGGCTCACAGGCTGTCGCTGACGGGGACGCGGCTGACGGAAGCCAGCGGAGCGGTTGTGAGGGAACAGCCATCGTGGCTTTGGAGCCCGGCGCGGCCGGAGCCTGCGGCGCTCTGACATTCCTTCTTGGGTGTTTGACTCCGTCCTATCTGGCTCGCTGCTCCATGGACCCTGTGGCTGAGGCTCCAGCAGGGTCACAGGCAGGGCAGAGATCTTCTCCGTCTTCCTCCAGACCATCTTCCCCAGTGGGCTTTGGGCGAGACTTGCCCTCTAGGGTGGATTTTCTCTCCGGCACCGCATATATTCGGCATATATCCCAGATTAAGTTCGTCATCATCTTCCACAAATCTGCTGCATCACCTCTGTTCCTTTCCTTGAGGAGGGACACACCATCCTTCTGGCACCTCGGGCCAGACACCATTCATGCTCAGCTTGTTCTCCCCTGTCTGGGGGAGACAGTTTCTGCCCCTGCTGTCTCCCAGTCTGTCTCCTTCTGTCTGACTTCACTGTGACAACCTCACTTAGTGCGGAGGACCTTCATCTCTGGCCTGGATAATTGCACTTGGCTTCCTGCTGGGCCCTCTACCTTCTTTCCTTGCCCTGTTACATCCTCCCTACTCTCCTGGTCACTTTCCTGCTAAAAAGCAGGTGGCGGCTACAGTTCTGTGATGTTCAGTGATGTGATAAATGCTCTGCTAGAGGTATGTACACATTGGCATGAGAGCATCTGGTTCTGGTTCGAGTGGTCCAGATGATCCTCAGAAGAAATGACATTTGAGCAGGGCCTTGAATGATGATGGGATCAGGAGACAATGTGAACGAAGGCACTAAAGCATGAGTTACTTAACGTCTCTGTGCCTCAGATACCTCACATGTAATATGGGTGTAATAGGACCTGCCTGAGGCTGTTGTGAGGGTCAGTTAATGTACGTACGTCAAGTGCACGGCACTTGGCGAGCACTGCGCCAGTATTAGCCGTTATCACCTTGTTACTGATGAAGCAGTCGAGTGCATGGGGAGACAGGGTAGAATCTGTTTGTCTTCTTTGCCTGCTTTCATTTAAAACAAAGGTCACAGGGCACCTGGGTGGCTCAGTCAGCTAAGCGTCTGCCTTCGGCTCAGGTCATGATCCCAGGGTCCTGGGATTGAGCCCCGCATCGGACTCCCTGCTCCACGGGGAGTCTGCTTCTCCCTCTGCCCCTCCTCCTGCTCATGCTCTCTCTCTCTCTGTCAAATACATAGATAAAATCTTAAAAAAAATAATAAAGGTCATCTCTGGGGTTTTCTCTTCAAGTGTAGCACAACGTCACCTCCCCCCCACCCCCAGGGTGGGATTAAGTTGAGTTTGAAGCTGGTTTTCATGAGCCCCCTTGCCTTGCAGGACTTCTCCAGACAGGTTATGTCACCGACGGAGGCTGCCCTGAAGCTCTCTGCGGCCCGGAGACTATGTACAAGAGGAATGGTCTGATGGCTAGCGTGTTGGTCACCTCCGCCACTCCACAGGTACAGGGGCTGTGAGGATTGGGACAGTGGGTGGGGGTAGGGGGACTCCTTTCAGCGGACCCAGGCCCCAGCTAAGTTGTGGACAGCAAGGCAGCAAGGCTCCGTGAATACCACCATTCTTAGCCCCCCTGAGGCCCTTGGCCACACCAGGTGTGAGATTTGGGAGGCAGTCAGCCCTGAGGATCAATAGGTTTTCTGCAGTCGTTCTCGTCAAAGAAAAGCAAACACCTGCCCAGTCCAGTTGTAGCAAGTGCCACATCCCATTTTGGTGGCAAGATGGGATCAGACCTTTCCCAAGAAAAGCTGCTGCTGATTATAAATAAGTCACACATTCCAGAATGAAGTCTGACAGAAGTGATTCCAACTGGCCCTGTGTTCTTGTTTACCTTGCTCAGTAGGAGATGGCTGTAAGCACTGGTGGTCGGAGAGTGGCCTGGGCTAGGGCCCCTGGCCCGGGGCTTGGGGGGGTGTGGGTTTGTTTTCCAAGTGCAGTGACGGGACAGAGGCATGCAAGAGGAGTGGGTGTCATCAGCCCAGGGATGCCACCTTGCCGAAGGTGTAATGCCTGGCTCCGTGACCACCGGCAAGGGAATGCTCAGTCCCTCACAGTTGAGCTGGGCTTTTGAAATGATCCTGTGTGATCGGCTAGAAATTCACAGGAACCTATTGATATTTTGTAAACTTTTAAAAAATTCCTTATTTTGATCTCTGCTTCTGAAAACAGACTTGTGAGTACCTTTTAAAATTCCCTGATAGTGCCAATATGGGTTTAAATGAAGTCACTGCCTCATCATCATCACCACCACTAATGTATTTGGGGCAACACTGGATTAAATAAGGCCTCTTGTATGAGCATGTGTGTCTGGGGCAGATGCAATGGGGTGTTACAGGGAAGTTATAAAACCTGAAATCCCAGGAATGGACTGTTTGGTAACTGGAGGAATCAGACTTCTGTTTTCATTACAATTTACACTTCATCCACAGTAAAACTTCTGTCTTTTCTGACCTCTCTGTGTGTATGTGCACACATGTACACATATACACGTACATATTCTGTGTGTGTGTGCGTACGTGTATGTATCTGGAACATGGTAAGTACTCACGTAGTTGTTGAGAGCACACATGTATAATTGAAGTACTCAGTAAATTTTGGTGATGAATGACACCACACACACATCCACCCCCATAATTCAGCGCATCCTGTCTGTCCGGCCTTGCATGTTTCACAGGTGTCATCCCACTAATTCTCACAGTAGCCCGATCAGGTATGTACTGTTTCTTCACCCCCCGTTTATAGATGGGGAAACTAAGGCAGGAAGACGTGAATAAATTGGCTCAAATCACACAGCTGGTTGGCCGTGGGTGGGGATTCACAGCCAGGCCCCTGTGACTCTCAAGCCAGTGCTCTTAACCCTGATGACACTACACTGAGGAAAACCACCTTGTCACCTGACTCGGTCGCTTTCTGGAAGGTGGGTGTGGAAGTGCAGAGTGACTTACAGGTATTCGCCTGCTTGGAGTCTGTGCATAAGACTGAGGAGCAGAACAGACTGCCAATTTTAGAGGCATTCAGGATTCGTCTTAGTTACTTCTCAAAAGTTTGGCACAGATTCTCCTCAGGGGAGAATGTCCCATTGTTCAGGGAACTTCTAAAATAGCCATGGCCGAGCCTGCCCTTGCCCCTTGAACCAGCGTCTCCCAGGGAGGGGGATTCTGCCCGCTGCTCTGTTAGCTTCATCGTGTGTAACCTGTACCCCAGCCCTGGGGAGGAGGTGTCAATGGTGCCGGTTTCCAGAGAGCTGAGACGGTCAGGTGAAGTAGCTTGTGTGGAGCTGGCATTTCCACCGGCCATGACTTCAGCGCTCTTAACCACCATGATGTGCTGCTGCTTCAGATCGTCTTAGATCTAGTTTTGGGTAGAGCAGCCTCATTCGTAAAACCTTTCAATGACATAGGCCTACTGAAATCTACAGGTTTGAGTTTCCGCTCCTGCTTTTAACCCCACATTCTCAGTTGTTGACTGTTGGTTTCCCTCGCTGGCCTAAAAACACCCTAATTTCCAGTAAGATTGCAAAGTTTTTCCAGATATAGCCATTTTGGAAAGAGTGAAATAAAGAAGAATTAATAAAAGCATGTTCTCTAAGTCCCAGTCCAAGATATTGAGGTTAATGGAAACCACAAAATCCCTCTTCATGGGTTGAGACGAATAAAACCATTTATGAACAGGATACAGTTTTTGGGTGGTAAGCTTGATTGGTTCCCCAAAGTAGAATTTGATGAAATTAAATAAAGTCAAAGAGAAGGTATGTTCAACATTCTGGGATCCCCACAGTGTTGGGTTTCATAAAACTGGCCCCATTTGGGGAGTTTTAACTTGCTTTTTTATGGGAGACCCCTTCTGTACATGCAGGGCTCATGGTGTTCTCCTTAATAAGGGACTCTTCTGAATTTAACTTTCACGCCCGTCTCCGAAGCCAGTTGGTTACCTCTCACCTCATCAGCAAACTGGCTTTGAATTCCAAATGGCCCATACATGAAATAAGTCTTGAAAGCCAGTTTAACATTTTGTGTAAGAATTTCCTGCAGTGACTTCAAGAAAAACAACAACAAAAAAAACAAAGGTGAAACCAGGTAATGTTTGAGAGACAGAACAGGACAGACGATTGCCTAGGCCTCCTAAGTTGTGAAGTCCTGTTCTCTCTGAAGGAGGCGTGGGCTGTATCTTTTTACCCCACCAGCTACACAGCGGGTTGGATACAGTCGGGGGTAGTGACCGAGGGTACACGTCTGGCGTCAGGTAGACGCGAAACTAGGTTCACCTCCTAGTTCTTCGGTTTCCTGGCTGTGATACCTTGGGGGAGGTGGCCTTGCCTCTGCTTCCTTATCTGTAAAGCGGGAATAAGAATAGCATGTCCTCAGTCCTTACGAGAATTAAACAAGAGCATGTGTGTGAAGTGCCTCGCCCGGTGCCTGGAACGGGGTAAGGCAGCGAGCAGTAGGAGCTTTTCTCACTGTACGGTGCTGTCTCTCCTGCGTCCTCGGGCTGGGTGTGGGAGTCAGCGAGTCTGCAGTCAGCCCGACTGCTCAGGCGGCCTCTCTCTCCCTGTCCTCCACAGGGCAGCAGCAGCTCAGACTCTCTGGAGGGCCAGAGCTGCGACTATGCCAGCAAGAGCTACGATGCCGTTGTCTTCGATGTCTTGAAAGTGAGTCCCGAGGAGTTTGCTGTAAGTAACGGAACTGATGCGGGCGTCTGGGCACTGAAACAGGGTGCGACGAGGGGTAGCAAACACCGGTTGGAAACAACCCATGTGCCCAACAGTAGGGACTCTGGGATATAATATTCTTTATGAAATACTAAGCAGCATTAAAAAGGATGCCATCAATCTAGAATTAACCCCCTTGGAAGTCATGCACACTATATTCGAATATTAAGTGAAAGGAGCAAGTTGCAGCACCATTAATAGAGAACAGTGTCATTTTTAAAAAGCACGTGCAATGCACACATATTTATATTTGCAGAAGAAGAGGTCTAGGTTTGATGTTTACAGGTTCATAACTATCTGGATATAAATAGCCAAACATTATTTACTGTAACTTCTGGTTGTAGGATTCTAGTTAATTGGAATTTCATTTTTCTTCTTTTTGTTTCTTTTTGTTTAATTTCTACATTTTTACAATGACTTTTCTATGATAGAAAATAGTATTTTGTAATAATACATTTTTTTAAAATTGTCTTTTCTTTAACCAGTGTGTTTCTGCTGGTCTGACTGAGGGCTCTTCCTTGTGGTGGAGACGCAGAGTTGGCTTCTCGGTTTGCCATGATTTGGTTTCTTCCTTTTGTGCTTTGAGGGTAGAGGAGTATATTGCCTCTGGGGTGACCTGGAGCCAGATTGCAAGCACTGTCCCAGGGCTGTAACTCTTTGCAGCACCACTGACCTGTTTCCTGCCATGCCCACTTCCTCCCTGTCCCCTTTGCTGTAACAGGTTTTGGGCCCTCCAGGGTGCTGGGGGAGCTAACTGGGCCGTGTCTCAGCCTTCTGCCACTGCCGGCCCCCACATTTATTTTGTGCCATGCTGAGCCTGGCATCACCTCCTTCAGTGTAGCCAATGGGTCAGTTAAAAACTTGTGTGAACCTCTCTGGCAGCTGCCTCGTATGAGAATGAGACCCTGCGTTCCTCCCAAGGCCTCCAGGGCCCCCTGTGGTCTGGCCAATGGTCTGCCCCCATCTCTGTGCTCCCCAGCTATACCTTGGCTCCCTTTTTCTAACCCAGACTCACCCAGCATCCCCCTGCTGCAGCACCCTGCGCTTCTCTGCCTTCACTCCTGCTGGCTCTTCTCCACATGTCTGTCTCTGTCCTTGGGCTAAAGTGGCATCTTTCCATCACTCTCTTTTCCCTTACCCTGCTCTAGTTTCTTCATATTTCTTATTACTACCCAACGTTACATTATATAATAATATTTTTTTGTGATATATCTCCTCTGGAATAGAAACTCTTTAAGGACAGAAACTTTATCTGACTTGTTCATTGCTTTTTCCCCAGTGCCCAGAATGGTGCCTCGCTCATAGTTAGGTACTCAATGAATACATGTAGGCTGAAAGAATTCCGTCTTCAGAATAACCCGATGAAGCAGATTATTAGCTCCTGCTTTTCTAATAAAGAAGTGAAGAATCTAAGAGATTAATTTTTTTTTGCCTGGATCATATAGCCAGGTATGGGCAGAGCCAGGTCTAAAACCTTCATCTCCTGATTATTCACCTAATGCTGGATGGTCATATTAAGGGCAGCTCCCATTTTTGAACACCTGCCATGTCTAGGTTGTTGTTGCCGTTTTTTTTTAAGACTTTATTTATTTATTTGTCAGAGAGAGAGAGAAAGAGAGAGAAAGCCAGCACAAGCAGGGGGAGTGGCAGGCAGAGAGAGAAGCAGGCTCCCTGTTGAGCAAGAAGCCCAATGCGGGACTCAATCCCAGGACCCTGGGATCATGACCTAAGCTGAAGGCAGACGCTTAACTGACCAAGCCATCCACACGTCCCCCATGTCTAGGTCTTATGCTAAGTGCTTTACATGCATTATCTAATTTACTTCTCACATCAGCCTGATAAATTAGGTATATTTATTATTGCCAGTTTACTGATGAGCAAGTCAGTGCTTAAAGAGGAAAATTACTTCTTCACACAGAGAGTAAGTGGCACTGTCTATCTGGGATTTAAAACCAAGGCTGGCATTCTAGACCAATACTGTTCCAACAGGAATATAATCTGAATCACATGTGCAATTTTATTTAATTAATTAATTTATTATTAAAATTTTTTAAATTCCAGTATGGTTAACATATAGTGTTATATTAGTTTCAAGTGTATAATATAGTGATTCAACTGTTCCATATATTGCTTAGTAAGGTCATCATGATAAGTGTACTCTTTAATCCCCTTCACCTGTTCCTCCCATCCCCCCAACCAACTATCCTCTGGTAACCATCAGTTTGTTCTCTGTAGTTCAGAGTCTGTTTTTTGCTTTGTCTCTTTTTTTTCCTTTGTTTTGTTTCTTAAATTCCATATATGAATGAAATCCTGGTATTTGTCTTTCTCTAACTTATTTTGCTGAGCATTATACCCTCTAGATCATCCATGTTGTTGCAAATGGCAAGATTTTATTCTTTGTTATGGCTGAATAGTATTCCTTGTGTATTTATACTACATGTTCTTTATCCAATGGACACTTGGGCTATTTCTTTAATTTGGCTATTGTAAATAATGCTGCTATAAACAGAGGGGTGAACATATTCTTTCTAATTAGTATTTTCATATTTTTTGGGTAAATACACAGTGGTGTAATTACTGGATTGTAGGGTAGTTCTATTTTTAATTTTTTGAGGAACCTCCATTGTCTTCCACAGTGGCTGAATGAGTTTACATTCCCACCAACAGAGCAAGAGAGTTCCTTTTACTCCATATCCTTGCCAACACTTGTCATTTCTTGTGTTTTTGATTTTAGCCATTCTGAAAGGTGTGGGGTGATAGCTCATTGTGGTTTTGATTTGTATTTCCCTATTGATGAGGAATATTGAGCATCTTTTCATGTGTCTGTTGACCATCTGGATGTCTTCTTTGGAGAAATGTCTGCTTATGTCTTCTGCCCATTTTTAAATTGCATTATTTGGTTTTTTGGTATTGAGTTATATCAGTTCTTTATATATTTTGGATACTAGCCCTTTATTGAATATGCCACTTGCAAATATCTTCTCTCATTCAGTAAGTTGTCTCTTAGTTTTGTAGATTTTTTTTTTTTTTGCTTTGCAGAAGCTTTTTATTTTGTTATAGTCCCAATAGTTTATTTTTGCTTTTGTTTCCCTTGCCTCACAAGACATATCTAGAAAAATGTTGCTACAGCTGATGTCAGAGATCTACAGCTAGATCTCCATCCTTCTACTCTGCAGTATGCTGAAAGCAAAGTAAAAAGCAATGCTGGAACTTTATCAGTAGATCATGGACATCTTTCTAGGTCCATATATGTAGATTTAATTCTCTATTTTTAAGGGTTTATTTGAGAGAGAGAGAGAGAAAGAGAGAGAGAATGTATGCATGCACAAGCAGGGGAGGGGCAGAGGGAGAGGGAGAGAAAATTCCAAGCAGACTCCCCACTGAGCATGGAGCCCAACTCAGAGTCTCATGACCCTGAGATCATGACCTCAGCTGAAATCAAGAGTCAGACGCCTAATCGACTGAGCCACCCAAGAGCCCCTTTAATTCTCTATTTTTAATAGCTGCATAATATTCCAGAGTCTGGATATACCATAATTTTTTTTTTCCAATAAGTCCCTTTTCATGGTCTCTTACGTTGTTTCCAGATTTTTCCTGCTGCAAATAATGGTGCAGTAAACATGTATTTTTCTATCTGTATCTAAATGTAGATCTCTATATAAACTCTCCTTATGTACCAGTGCTCTTCTTTCTGTAGGTGTGGGGATTGTTGTGTCAACAGTATGCTCATTTCACTTTTTAGGAGATAAGATCTAAGTGCGATGCCTGATCTTGTATCAAGAAAAAATTGCTATAAAAAACAGTATTGGGATATTTAGCAAATTTTGAACGCAGACTGTAATATTAGATGATACTATTATAACAATGATAAGTTTTCTGAATGTAATAATTTTATCATTATGTAAGAGCACAATCTTGTTCTTGGGAAATAACATGCTGAAGGATTTAGGGGTGAAGAGTCATGATATCTGCATCTTATTCTTGAGTGGTTCCAAAAAAAATGTGTATGTATAATTATATACATGGAGATAAAGCAAATGAGGCAAGATGTTAATTAGTGAAGCTAGGTGAAAGGTTATAGAATTCATCATACTATTCTTGCAACTTTTTATAAGTTTGGCTTTTAAAAAAAATCCAGTTAAAGAACTTTTTTAATGGGTTACTGCCAGATTGTTTCCCAAAAAGAACAGAGCAATCTCTAGTCCTGTTGCTCCTGATGGCACTGATGGAGGACAAATGGCATCTTCCTGTTTAATTTGCATTTCCTTGACTATGATTCTAAATTTGCCAGACACATGGTTCCTGTGGCTCTTGGAGTAGAAGTAGGAGTGTATCTTTGGAGCTGATTGCCTTTTGTTCCGTGAGCCCTCCTGGTCATGTATTGGTGGAGTGATCTAAATGCAAATTTAAAGATATCTTCTGTTATAAAATATGCCACTGATTTGCCAGCAGCTTCTTTTGTTTGTTTATTTGGGGCTTGAGAGCCTTTAAATAAGGTTGTGGCTGGGAAGAGGGAATTTAGTCACCAGTGTTAGAGAACACTACTTTCAACATAGGCAGAAAACATTTTTTGTTTCCTTTTTGGCTAGGTGGCTTTCATTTATTCACATAGAAACACCTCTTTCTTTAGGGCCGTATTGTGAAGTACTTCTATAGGTCTCTCCATTCTGAAGAATTCACCTCAACAGAAATGTTTTGTAATATGTGGAGATTAGCCATTTCCCTAAAAAGCCTGGATTTTTAGGGGACCCTGGACTAGGAGAAGGAGGAGATGGGAGAAGAAGTTAGGATTAAGGAAGGCATCGCCAGGGTGACTGGCTTCATTGGGCATCCTGTGTTAAGGCTCTATTTCCCAAGATAAGGAGAAGCCGTTGAGAGACTTGTTCATGAGTGTGCGCCTCAGTCCTGGCATGTGTGCCTCACTGGGGTGGGTTTGCTGATTTCGTTCATTCGTTCACTCGTTCATTGTTTTTACTTAAATTCCAGTTAGTTACCGTACAGGGTGATGTTAGTTTCAGGTGTACAATGTAGAGATTTAACACTTGCATGCATTGTCCCATGCTCATCACGACAAGTGCTGCTTGTAGACCAGATAGTCCTATTTCTATGGAGGCTGCACCACACCCGTAGGAAGTGCCCTTTCTCTCCAGGAAGCCGGGTCCTCTCCCCTGCAGGCAGGGTCTCCTGAGGCTGAGAGCCACAGTGAAGGGGGACAGGACCTGACTTCCCTCAAGCTCCCACCCCTACCCACACCCTCCCTTTCTGGTAAAACTGCCTGCTTTGGAGTGCCCACATTTCCTGGAAAGGACTGCTCATCAGCAACCTTTCCATGTGTGTTTGGCTTTGTAGTAAAATGACATGAAATTTATAATCTGATGATTTTACCTATGTATTGACATATTCTTGTTCTGCACTCTGCGTCTTTTTTGGTGAGAATTGAGAGGATAGAAATGGGAGAGAATCTTCTGAAAACCCTCAGATTGTGTGTTTGGGACCAGCCAGTCTATTTTAAGTTTGGAGACCTCTGTTGTTGTTTATTTTGAATAAAACACCTGAATACGTTTTCTGACTTAGGGGCTGAGTAGGGATTAGGATACTCGAAACTTGGACCATCCAAAAAAATGTGAAATGTAAAGCCACTATTTTAATAAATCATTTGGAAATTCAGTAGCAAACCCTAGAAGTGACGGCAGGATGGAGAGGAAGCTTTCTCATTTTCACATTAGCAGACTTTTGGTTCTCGTCCTAAATGACATTGCAAACATCCTGCTAGTTCTCCCAGATAGGGAGTTAACTTGAGCCTCGGAAGAGATTTCAAAGGCCCACTGCGCTTTCAGCGTGAATCTCCTGTTTTCACAAGGCCTTTCTGTTCCCCAGGATGGCAGAATTAATCCAAATGTGAGGGGACTTGGCTAGCAATCACCATGGGTCTGGCAGGAGAAATGCCAGTGTGTTTGCACTGCCTGGGACATAGCTCTGGGCCAGACACATAGACCTGCGGGCCTCCTGGCCTCAGTCATCCCTCGATGCCCAGATTACGAGGACCAGATCCACCTTGTGCTGACGTCCACTGCCCCCTTGCCACTGGTGGGTAGACCCAGAGGTGGAAGGGCTTGGTTCCCAAGTGTTTCTTTATTCTTGGTGCCTTTGCTGTCTCTCTGCTGAGCTTCCGTAGGCAGCACTGGCCCGTTGGAGGGGACAAAGAGGCTCTCCACAGAAGCCACCTGCTTATTTCCCTCTCCCGCTCAGCCCTGAGGATGGTATGCTTTGGCCTGCATCCTATGCTTCTCAGGAATCCAGTGGTCTTGGACCACCTTTAAATTATGCCAAGAGGCAACCACAATTCTGCACCTTAGCCCTGGACTGTGGTTACACTTGACATACTGTGTGTGTTGCCATTTTTCCAATGTATTTTTTTTTTTAAAGATTTTATTTATTTTTTGACAGAGAAAGACACAGCGAGAGAGGGAACACAAGCAGGGGGAGTGGGAGAGGGAGAAGCAGGCTTCCCGCCGAGCAGGGAGCCCGATGCGGGGCTCGATCCCAGGACCCTGGGATCATGACCTGAGCCAAAGGCAGACGCTTAACGACTGAGCCACCCAGGCGCCCCTTTCCAATGTATTCTTGACATGAGGCTTTTTCATGACTATTTGTTGACTTAAGTAACAGCCTCCTTTAAGAGGAACTTTGATGCTTGAATATTCAAACAAATTAACAGTTTCCTTATTTCTTAGCTCATGTTTTGGCCAGGAACCATAAGTTCACATGCCAATACATGAGCTCATCTTTGTGACTTCACATATATGTGACATATAAGTGTAAATATATAAACACATATGTGCACACAGTTGACGCTTGAGCACACAGGTTTGAACTGTGTGGGTCCACCTACATGCAGGTTTTTTTTTTTTTTTAATAAACACAGTACTGTAAATGCGTTTTCCCTTCCTTATGATTTTCTTAATAACATTTGCTTTTCTCTAGATTACCTTTTTGTAAGAGTATAGTTTATAATTCATCTAACAAACAAAATGTATTAATCAACTATTGATGTTATCAGTAAGGCTTCTGGTCAACAGTAGGCTGTTAATAGTTAAGTTTTTGGGGAATTAAAAGTTATGTTCAGATTTGGTTTTTCTTTTTAAAGACTTACTTATTTAGAGAGAGAGTGAGAGTGCACGAGTGGGGGAAGGAGCAGAGGGAGAGAGAGGTAGAGAGAGAAGCAGACTCCCTGCTAAGCATGGTCACAGCCCTGAGATCATGACCTGAGCCGAAATCAAGAGTCGGATGCTTAACTGACTGAGCCACTCAGGCGCCCCGATATGCAGATTTTAGACCAGGGAGGGTTGGCATCCCTAACCCCCATGTTGTTCAGGGTCCACAGTATATATATATATATATAATCTTTGTGAAAATTCAAGATAGGAGGTGCAGAATGCCTGGCACCTGACAGATACTCTCTGTCTTTCTGTCTCTGTCTCTCTCTCTCTATATGCACATGCATAGATGTGCTCTCTCTATATGCATGTATATATGTATGTATACACACATACGCATATCTCGAGAGAGCACCTGTCAGATGCCTGGCATTCTGCACTTCTTCTCTTGAATTTTCCCAAGGATCCTATATAAGATAAGGATTATTGTCACCATTTCCTAGATGTGGAACCTGAGACTGGGAGAGGTTAAACCAAGTGTCAAAGAGCATATTAACTGTTAAGTGGTGGTATCCAGACACACACCCAAGCCCTGATGATTCCAGAGGCCCCGTTAGTTCCACTACATCACATCCTCCCCTTTGACATGTGTGCCTATGGGCAGGGTGTCTTCTTGAGTTAGGAGGCATCCAAATGCCCTTGGCTCTCCTTTCCCTGGCCTATCACAGAGGTATCTATTAACTGACACCTGGCATCCCAGGTGACATATAGAGATGGGCAGATCATGCAAAGTCGGCTCAGTGCATGCCTTGGCCTGCAAAGATTGTCAGCAATGGTGCTTTCTCTTATTGTCACCCGATGAGCAGCTAATAATGGGAGCAGCCTTTAACTAGATGTGTGTTTTCTTTGTTTACAACATTAGTGCTTTGCAAGCTAGCTGTGGTAAAGGGCCAGTTGTTTTTCATTTCCCATCTGTTGAGGACTGATACTTAAAAAAAATACAATAAAAACATTGTGGCAATTTGTTATAAAAGTTCCCAAATGCTTGCTCTCAAATTCTGTAGTTATCTCCTTGTGGGCTGGTGGAGTAAATAGCTTGCGGTCCAGCACGGGTCCACGGATGCATCTCGAGTAGCACTCTACCGTATAATTTAGAGGAGACTTAGACTTCAGAAGAAATATACAATTTCTATAAGCCACAGTTTTTTTAAAATTTAAATTTAGAGTAATAGATAGTGTCTCTGTTTAGCATTCTAATTTTTAATATTATGTCTACAGCTTTTTTAAATTACAAAAGTAATTCATGCTTGAAACAAAAACTCTAATAGTACAAAAATATCCAAACTAGAAATGTTCCCCTTAATCTTAGTCCCACCCTCCAAATGACTATCATCAATTCTTAAATTGGGAGTTTGTCTCACATTAAAGAAAGAAGGGTGTAGGGTCAAGATTTACGAAGGGGGAAGGGATGGGAGAGGCATTTTAGGAATTTTTTATTCCATTCTTTCTTGATTTTTATTTCAAGGGAGAATGTGTTATTACTCTGTATGGATTCAAAGTTACCTTTGACTTCCAGTATATTCTAACACTGATTCTCTTTTGTTGCAGAGCCAGATCACATTAATGGACATACCCGTGTTTAAAGCCATCCAGCCGGAGGTCTGTACTTTGTCCTTTAAATTGTTCTAAACACTGTGGCTGGGAGGAAATGATTTAGTCAGCCATGTCTGAGCGACTCTTGGTTTCTCTCTTGAAGTCTCTATAAACACATTAGTGATTTAAGCCCCTATTAAAGAGTGCATCCAGGAGCTTCTCATTCTTGATGGTGCTCATTCTTTGTGCCCGGTGTTTGGGGTCTGCAGAGACTGTCACTGTGTCTGGCCCACCCTGGCAGGGCTGGGGGCAGTTGGTGCCCGCGGCCTCCATACCTGAGCCAGGCCTTCCCACACTGATTCTTTTTTCCCAGGCTCCTCCTGTTGAGAATGGTCCCTGTCAAGAACGGGATGTGAGGGAACATTTTCCTGGAGAGCTTTCTTTTTATTGATCCCAAATTCTGGTGGTTGCCTTGTTTCTGATTTTGAAACCAGTTTCCACAGCAAAACATATACATATTTACATTAAGAGCATATGTACATTTTTAGAAACAGCATATTCAATAGAGAGAAAAAAGTTGGTTTTGGTCTTTAAAAATATCCTGGAAATGTTTAGTAGTTGATAACAAGGCTTTAGAGTTGTTTTAGTCAGGGTTCTTTTTTTGTTGGCTAGTAATAGAAATCCATTTTGAAGTAGCTGGATAGGCAGAAGAGGAGTTTATTATGGGGATAAAGGGACACTTTATGGAATCCATGAGCGTGGAGTTCAGGTGGCTGGAGAGCCAGCCGAGACGCGAGCGGTCTCTGCCTCTTGTCTCTGCTTTTTCCTCTCTTCCACTCTCCTCCCTTCTTTCCTGTCTGTTCGCATGGTCCAACCTGGCCTCTCCGAAGGGCTCGAATTTACATGATCCTCCTTTAGGCCACCTTCCAGACTGAGACCAGCAGCTCTCAGTCCAGCCTGGCTGACTCATGCTGCTTCGTGACCTAGGCCAGGAGTATGTGGCCAAGATGAGCGAGCACAGCTGAGGGGACCCAGTCTGGTGAATGGGGTGCACATTTTAGAGAAGAGGGATGTACATGGGGAGATACGTCAGAAAGTGTCTGCTGCAACCATGGTGTGAATTCCAGAACTCTCTTGACATGCAGCCCTTCCTCTTACAGTATGGTAGCTGTTAAGGCTTTGAGAAAAGCAGCATATTTTAATACAAAACCAGATGACAAAGGATACAGGCCTTCTGAGAGCTGGCATCTAACCTACTGCAAATTAGGAGGAAACTAGTACTTCTAGCTGCGCTCAGCATTTGTGTGAAGGCGTGGCAGTGATTTGTAGTATTGTGTGTGTGCACACGCATGCTGTGTTCATGAGGTTTGGGGAGCGGAGCTGTGTTTGATTTTTTGAATTGGCTGACTTCCCGTTTTTTACTGTTATCTTCTAACATGAAATTATCCATTCTTTCTAATTAAAAAAAAATAAAACAACTCTCTACCTCTTGGAGACTTTTAGGGGAGTATTTGTGTGATGGTTGCCTTAGTTCTCAGCTTGCAGCTCTTTGTGATCATGTACTCTGCTTAGCTTTGATCTGGAGCTGTTTAGACATTTGGATCTTTATTCTTTGTCCTGAGCATCTGGGAGAGGCCGTGAGCCCTGAATCCTGAACCTGCATGTGCCCAGGGAAGCTGGCGTGGCTGCTCAGGCTCATTGTAGGAGGGAAGATGGTGGGGAGTTCTTTAGAGGCACAGCTAGGGGCATACCAAGGCTTTTCCCCGGGGCACTGAGGTTTGGAAGGTGCCTCATCCAAGATATACCTTGATTCAAATTGTGATAAGACATTAAGGTGGAGATGTTTTACCTTCAAGATTTTCGCTTGGAGCTGTGGTTGTAATTGTGGCTGCACGTCAGAATCACCTGGCAGCCTCTGAAACGTGGGGTGCCCGGACTCCACACTTGACCATTGGGTCTGGATCTCTGGGTCAGGGCCTGGAGCCCAGTCAGCCCCATTTTGTAGAAGGTTACCAGGTGATTCTGATACAGAGTGAGGATTGAAAACTAATTCCTTTGAGGTATCTGGAGAAACCCCAAACTTGAATGTCTTGGATCTACGTTAGCTAAAAATGGAAGAGTTTGTTCCTCACTGTCATTGTCAAAACTGTGGTTAAAAGGAGGATCCTGGGAGCTGCCCCAGCTTTTTTGCTGTTGTTATTCTTGTTAGCAGACAGAAAACTAGAGTTTTTCCTCTTGATGATGCCTGCCACATTGTGGCTGGACCACCCCAGAGTTGGAGGGACATGAATAAGGACAGTTACAAGTTTGACAAGACTTCCCAGGAAGCAGAGGCCAGCATCTGAGAGCAAGTGACCTGCACTCGCAGAAGATCAGGAAGCCTGTGGACTGGTGCTTTTCCGTGCGGCCTATGCATCAGAATCTGTAAAGAAATACAGATGCCTGGGCTCCATCCTTGGAGATGTTGATCCCATAGAGTTAGAGAGGGGCTGGGAATCTCTGTTTCAGTGAGTTGTAGTCACTGTTCTTTTTGATATGTAAATTGTGCCATCTTTAACCAGTGGGAGCCCTTTCGTGTCACCACCTGTATCCTTTTAACACGATCCCCTTGGTTTGGTTGGCTTCCTTGCTCTTTGGCACAACGAGCTATATCAATGTTATGTTGTACAATTCCTGCTGAAGACCTAGAATCGGGTGTGTCTTTGGGGTGCTGGTTTCTTTTACTGGAGGTGAATATTCAGAAACCACAATCTGGGTGAGAGTATGCTCATGAGAGGAGGTTGCAGTTGCTTTTAGGCCCTTTTGGTGGACAGGGTGAAGAAATACTTATTTTTTCAAAGGAAAAGTCATGGGGCACTTGGGTGGCTCAGCTGGTTGAGTGTCTGACTCGGTTTCTGCTCGGATCATGATCTTGGGGTCATGGGATCGAGCCCCGTGTCAGGCTGTGTGCTGAGCATGGAGCCTGCTTGGGATTCTCTCTCCCTCTCCCTCTGCCCCTGCCTGTTTGTGTGCTCTCTCTCTCTCTCTTTAAAAAAGTAATAAAAAAATAAAAGGAAAAGTCATGAGTTCATAATTAGGGTAGGTGGTGTTCTTTCTCCACATTCTTCCTTCCCTCCTCATCCTTGTCATGACTTCTCTGTGGGTGGTGTCTGTTTCTCATCGTATTGACTTTGGACTTGGCCCTGTGCCTTGGGTATAAGTGACAGCATGCACGTGGTGAGTGAGAGGCATGACCAGCCCTCTTGGAACTTCCACTCGCCGTGATATATGGGTAGCTCTTGCTTGTTTAGCCTGAGTCCCCAAGTGAGGATGTCATAGATGACCTGAACCGAACCCAGAGCCCGAATTCTAGCCTAACCTGGCCCCGCCCCAGTGAGCCCAGTGGAGATTGGCTGAACTGCAGCCATTTCCACCGACCCCTGAGTGTGAAATAAATATTGCTGTTGTAAGCCTTTGAGATTTGAGGGTTGTTTGTTATATCACATTATCTTGTTGACATGTGACTGATATAATGTTGATCTTTCCAACTCAAATCTAACATTACAGTGTTGTGAGCTTAATTCCCTTGATTTTCATATGATTTCTTTTACACTGACAGTTTGGGTTTCTAACAACATTAAATAATTACATTTTTGTATTATCTCATCATATATATATGTATATATATACACATACATACATAGTAGTTTAAAAATAATAGTATTGGTGTTAATATTAACCAGCAGACTACGGATTGCAGTTTAACATTTTTTGCAGTTTTGTCTTCAGTACCTTTTCTTCTTATCTTCCCTCCCTCGTACCACTTCCATACCTACGTGGGCACCCCTTCTTGACTTCCCCAGAAGGCTTTTGGAAGCATCCGGGCAGAAGAGGAGGGTTATGCTCACTCAGTTCTGGAGTCTGCCTCCCGAGAGACCCTGTTGGATCTTCCAGTGCCTGGAACACCGTGGATACTCAATATTTGTTGAATGAGTGGAGAAGGAATGAATGGGAGAAGTGCGGGAGCAGAATGTTATCTGGCTGTGTTTAGGCCCATTGCCAAGGGTGGGGGGTGTACCAATTAAGGGAACATTATTACCAGGGTGCCTGTTTTGTGGTGGAACCGCTTCCCCCAAAACAAGGGTTTTGCCTGGTGAGCTCAGCCTTTGAAGATTCAAATTTCCAAATGCTGTTGATAACTGAGGGTAGAACTGTGGCTTCTGCTTGTTTCTGCAAGGGTGACCACAAAAGTATCGTCCCAGGGCTTAAAGGAAGCTTGGCAGACGGTGAGTTAAGGATTGGCAGGGAACAAGGAAAATGGAAGTTAGGAAATAAAGAACCATAACTGCCCTGTTCCCCGTTGACTAAGTGACCAATTTTATCAAACATTGGCAAGTTAATGCAGATGCAACCTCGCAGCCTAATGGCTCACAGCTGGGTTTGACTTCTACACTGTGGCCCAGAACCCGTCACCACCGTGGTGGATTCCCGGCTGCCAGGGCTTGGGGTGAAGGAGGTCTTTCTGAGGGGTCCCGGTGGTGGCAGCCTTGTGTGGTACATTTGTGGGGTGGCATTTTGTCCCCACCAGTATTCCCTCCCACATCTGTCTGTCATTATGCCCAATTCCGTCATTATGCCCAAACTCCCAGCCCATGGAACTGAAGGCCCAGCAGATTCTCAGAGGCCAGGGGAACTGTCAGAACTGGTTTTGTCATTGGTTTCGATGTCGATGGGGAGCAGCGTCAAGGGGGGATCTGCTATTCTTAGAAGGTGCTGACAATGAGCACGGTCTGTGCGTTCCTCAGCCCAGGGCTCTGTCCACACTGGGCCGCCAGGTCCACTCACCCACATGGTGTTCGAGAGCAGGGACTCATCTGACAAAGCCGGGGTTGAGTCCTGGCCTCACCCTGAGGAGCTCAGACTTTGGACAAGTTACTCATTCTCCTTATGCTTCTGTTTTCTTGTGTAAAATGGGGGAAATCACAGTTTTAACCTTACAGTGCGTGTGTGAGAACTTAGTAAAGTGCCTGCAGGCTCTCAGCTCCTGATGGCTTGTGGCTGTTTGCTGTCTCTGGTGCGCAGCTGGAAGAGGCTGTGTGCATTACGGACGCGGGGCTGTGCTCAGCAGAACATTCAGCCGTGCCCGTGTGGGGGCTGCTGGCCCTGAGGATGCAGTGCTTTGAATAGCGGAGTGGGTAAGAGCCTTCTTCCTGGAATCCTTGAGGTCTAAGTTCACATCCTGGTGCCCGGATGGCCTTCGTGAAGCCGAGGTCTAGATGAGGACTCACACCGTGGTGCCCCAGGACCCTGCGGACATTGCTGGGGAGAGTCGCTCTGCCTTGGAGTTGGCACATTGGCACTGAGCCTTGAAGGCTGAAAGCGGTTGTATTTTTTGGGTGGTTTGGGGAAGGGGATAGGAGTTAGGAAGGGCATTTCAGGCAGAGTGAATAACTCATTGAAAAGGCAGATAATATATTCAGTGAGATTTAACACTACTTTTGGTGCCTGGTGGCTGGGGAGAAGAAAAGGCGAGCTTGCTGCTCTCTCGGTTCTGTGCTCCTCGGCGCACAGGGATGCGTTGCCATTGCTAGGAATGTGAGCATAATAAGGGCTTACCAGAAGTCGTTGTGTCATCCTTTCGCCCACTGACAGCTGGGGGCATGCAGGGTCCCAGAGGCTCGGGGATGGGTGTCTAGTGGGCCTGAGTATGAAGGAAACGAGCCTTAGTGCTACCAAGTTCAGTGACATGGAAAGCTTCTTTGTGTGCCTGTGTTTTTCCCAGTTTTTGCTGCCATCCCCACTGCCAGAGTCCCCAGTAGTGACTGACCTTCACTCGCTCACTCAGTCGTTCATTCATCAGTCTGCTGGGCTACGTGCTGGAGAGGCACAGATGAAGGGGTCACAGGGGTGGGCACAATCCAGTGAGAGGGAGGAACAGCTATGTGAACATACAGTAGACAGGAGGTATTTGGGGGATGCAGAGACGTCAAGGAGAGTTGGGGGGAGGGATGGGCAGGAGGCGGAGCTCTACGTTGTTGGACTCGGGGATCCACTGAAGTATTTCAGAAAGGGAATAACATGGGCAGATTGTGTTTTAGCATGTTTATTCTCGCTGTTGGAGACAGAACCATCCGGACTCAGGAGACCGATTAGGAGCTTTGCAATAGTGTATGTGAGGCCAGGGGGGGCAGCCCAGGAGAGGAGGGGGCCCTGGCATTAAGCTGGTTATGAGGCTGCTGTGAGGCCTGAGACGAGAAGAAACAGGACAGAGGGGAGTGGACTGTGCGTTCAGGGAGCAGAAGGAAGGGCAGTGGGCAGAGGAGGAGGCAGGGGGAGTAGCTCCCAAGACAGAAGGAGGCTCAGGGAGCCTGGAAGCAGAGCAGGGGCGTCAGTCATGTTTACCCTGGGGGAGGGAGGCCGGAAGGGCTGGAGAGGGCTGACGGCCTGGAAGACTCAAGAAGGACTGAGGGACCAGAGGTCGAGCAGGGGGCAAAGCGCAGATTTGGGTTGGAGTCAGAGAACGAGCTGGAGGCCAGGAGATCATCGAGGGAGAATGATGGCAGAGTGCAGGGTCTGTGAGTTGGGGTGGCTCTGGACACTGTGCTTGGCAGGAGCTGTAGTGGGAGGACAATGAAGGTCTCTCCTGGAGGAGGCGGGGGTGTGGTGTGACCCAGGGGTGAGAAGGCACACCAGCCAGTTTAGTGACGTCCCTCGAGATGAGAGCAGGAGAGTGAGAGGAGGAGACCGTGGGCCAGAGCCAAAGGCAAGGGTGCTGACAGCAACACAGAGGGGGGATGGAGGTGCCAGGAGGTAGCCTGGGCTCCCCCAGAAGACAGCTGAGCGCCTAGACTAGGAGCTGCCTGAGGTAAGGGACTAGAGTATCACCAGCACTTGCCACCAGGCTTCAGGGCTCAGGCCAGGAGCTCAGTGTTAGCAGAAGGCAGGCAAGGGCTGGTCTCGGTGGGCTTGCAGTCCTCTGCTGTCCTCACTGTGCCCCCGGAGGGCAGCTGGGGCTTAGAGAGAAAGGCAGATGGCTTAGAATGAAGGAGGGAGCAGCATTCATGAATGTTTTGGGGCAAAGAGGCTTTCTCCAGAGGGCTTTTGCATCCCTGTGGGGCACTTAACTCTAGAGAGATTTGGCTTCACCCTTCCTGCCTCAGGGCTTGAGGCCTCTGCACATGACTCAACCAGCATCTGTTGGTTTGCTGAAGGGCTGGCCTGCCGAAGGGCTGGCCTGCAGGAATGGAAGACTCCCTGCTGAAGTACACCATTTCCTCTGGGCCACATGACACGTTGCAGTGCAGGAAAACACTGCCTGTGGGTTCAGGAACCTGACCCTCTGGCCTTTTGTCTGGATGCCGGGTTGCCTGCTCTGAAGAAGCGGGCATTCCAGAAAGCCGAGGTCAGTGTTGGATGTCAGACAAACCCTGTGTGTCTTTGCTGCTCCTTGGAATCACAGCGTTTGGCCCTAGGAGAAGGGAAGCTCGTTGCCAGCAGGCAGTTATTTGTAAAGAGATCGGTTTCGATGACATCATTAAAACCCCTCTCTCAGGTCACATGCTGGGCAGTTTTCTCAGACCACTACCCCAGCCTAGCCTGAGCCTCTGCCACCTCTCCTCTGATCACATCTCCTCACACTTCATCCTGCTTCCCAAGCTCCTTGCTGTATCCAGAGACATCTTTCCAAAGCCACCGTCTGACCCTGTCCTGCCTAGAACCCTCTGAGGCTCCCCACTGCTCCTCGGATGCACACTTCTACTCTGCCGGCCAGGCGGCAGGCAGTGTCAGGGGCCAGCAGCAGACCTCCCAGCCTCAGCCAGCCCAAGCCTGCTGCTCCGTGCCGCTCACAGCCTCCCCAGTGGCGTCCCCCCACCCCCCCATCGCAGAGGTGGAGCCAGCAGCTGGGAGCACTAGACTGGGAGTTGTGCACGTTCCCCTCACGCTCACAATACTGTCTCCCACTTGCCATGCATAGCACTTCTCACCGTTGTGCTGAAATGTCATGACTTTTAAAAGTTTGAATAATTAGTTCTTTCCAGTCTGTGCCTTCTTGGTTATAAACTCCATGGACGCGGGGATCATGCCGATGCTCTTCCCTCCATATCCTGTGACCCAGCACAGTGCCCCATCCTGATGTTACTTATTGAATACATTTAGGATGTGGCAGTGATAATAATGGTACTATCTCATTGAATTGTCCTCACTTCGGTGCTGCAGTGCCTCCCTTGGTTCAAAAAACTGAGTTAGGTAGTAGGGGGTGGTCCAGGTGCCCCCCAATGGGGGCCAAGACGTGGGGCGGGTGGCTCCCCGCGTAAGGCTCGCCGGCACTGATGTTCGCCCCGGAAGCCTGAGCAGCCGCCTCTCTCATCTGTGACTGCTCTGAGTTTGCATTTGTTACTTGCTTCTCATTTCCCAGTAGCTGCCCTCCCCATTGTAATGACTTCTTGTCACAATGGAAACAAGTGGAAAAGGCTTCCCCCCAACTCCACTCATGATGGAGGGAGGGGTTGGAGTCCCTCCCTGAGCCTCAGAAAAACACTTGTCTGAAGGGTGGGGAGAGCCGCCGGGACAGGAGTCAGGTCTGGCTGCAGACATAGGCCAGCAGCGTATTTGATCCACCACCCTTCTTGGGTGTGGATATGACAATAGTGCTGGTTAGAAACCAAATTTCCTTTTAAATGAATTAATAACATAAAACAGAACCTTTGGTGAACAGCTGTTTTTATCCTTGGGGATTTGGCACCTGGTTGTGATTTTTGTCTGCAAGGAAAACAAGGTTCATGTGGACTCTGTGTTAAGAACAGCTGCATGATTCCGGGCAGTTTGATGTGACTGGAGGACCCTAAGATTCCCGGGCAGGAAGGTCTGCATTTGCACCCTGGCTCTGCTACTCTCTAGCTGTGTGATCATGCCAGGTTCCTGCACGTTTCTTTTTCGGTAAAGTAGAAATGATGCCTGTCCCAGGCTGACGGCCCGGTACATGGCAGAAACTCACAAGGTATTTCTTCTCTTTTGAGAGAAGTCAGGGATGTGGCAAGGAGAAAAGGAACAACAGTGCTAATAAGTCAGGCTAAGAAGGACCCTGGGCCAGCAATGTGTCGGGCTCTCCGAGGGAAGGACCTTCTGTGTCACTGCTGTGGTCCCTTACTCCAGGCACAGTGCCACCTTTTTTTTTTTTTTTAATTTTTTTGTTTGAGAGAGAGCAAGCATGACAGCGGGGGGGGGGGGGGTTGGAGCAGAGGGAGAGGGAGAAGCAGACTCCCCGCTGAGCGTGGAGCCCAATATGAGGTTCCATCCCAGGACCTGAGATCATGACCTGAGCCAAAGGCAGATGCTTAACTGACTGAGCCACCCAGGTGCCCTGGCACAATGTCACATTATAGGATCAATACTTGTCAATACTTAATGAATGAGAGGCAGATAGAAAAGTGTTTCGGGTGCCTGGGTGGCTCATTCGGTTAAGCGACTGCCTTCGGCTCAGGTCATGATCCTGGAGTCCCAGGATCGAGTCCCGCAACGGGCTCCCTGCTCAGCGGGGAGTCTGCTTCTCCCTCTGACCCTCCTCCTTCTCGTGCTCTCTGTCTCTCATTCTCTCTCGCAAATAAATAAATAAAATCTTTAAAAAGAAAAAAAAAGAAAAGTGTTTCTTTCTATATGGCCCAGAGCTTAAGAGCTTGGGCTCTGGAGTGAGAAGGATTAGGTGTATATCTGTGTGACCACACTTGTCACTTACTGTCTCTGAGTCTCATTTTCATTTCTGTATAAAATGGAGATGATAATATAACTACCTAAAAAATTGGACATGAGAACTGAATGAGATTTTTTTCAGCTTCATTGAGGTGTAATAGTTCTATAACAAACCATGCATAAATAAAGCCAACAATTTGATGAGTTTGAATGTATATATCTGTGAAACCATCATCAAATCGAAGCAGTAAACATACCCATCACCCAGAAGGTTTCCTCATGCTCCTTGCAGTCCCTCTCTCCTTTCCCACACCCTCCACGGTCTTCTTGGAATCAGGTAGAATCAGTTCTTAAAATGTGTTCTTCTGTTTCAAAATTGTCTTGGCTATTTTAGTCCTTTGCATTTCCATATGAATTTAAAAATCAGCTTGTAGCTTTACAAAAATGCCTGCTGTTGGGACGCCTGGGTGGCTCAGTCAGTTAAGCGTCTGCCTTCAGCTCAGGTCATGATCCCAGGATCCTGGGATCAAGTCCTGCATCCGGCTCCTTGCTCAACAGGGAGCCTGCTTCTCCCTCTGCCTGCCACTCCCCCTGCTTGTGCTCTCTCTCTCTCTCTCTCTCTGACAAATAAGTAAATAAAATCTTTTTTAAAAAATGCCTGCTGTTAATTATGATCACATTCAATCTGTAGATCAATTTGCGGACAGTTGACATCTTAACAATACTGAATCACCTGAACCATGAACACACTGTGTGTATCCACACATTTGGATCTTCTTTAATTTGTTTCAGTAATGTTGTAGTTTTCAGTGTATAGATCTTACACATCTTTTGTCAGATTGATTCCCAAGTGTTGCATTTTCTATGCTGCTGTAAATGTTATTTTATTTAAATTAAATTCCAATTGTTCATTCCTAGTTTATAGAAATATAGAAATGTTTTAATTGACCTTATATCTTATAGCTTTGCTAAACTCACTTATTCTACTAGCTCTTTTGTAGGTTCTGTAGAATTCTCTACACAGATGATTTTTCTGTGAATAACAGTCTTATTTCTTTGTTTCTAAACTGGATGCTTTTATTTCCCTGATTTGCCTTATTCGCTGGCCATAGCCTCTAATACAGTGTTGGGTAGAAGTGGTGGGAGCAGGTATCTTTGGCTTGTTTCTGGTCTTGAGGGAAAAGTTGTCTTTCGTGGTTAAGGATGATGTTAGCTGTTAGCTGCACGTTTTTCATTTGCCGTTTATCAGGTTGAGGATATTCCCTTCTGATCCTAATTTGCTGAGAATTTTTATCTGGAATGGATGTAGGGTTTTATTAAATGCTTTTCCTGCATCTATTGAGATACCGTGATTTTTCTTTTTTAGTCTGTTACTGTGGAGAATTGCATGATTGATTTTTGAATATTAAACTAAACTTGCGTTCCTATGATAAACCCCACTTGGTCATGATGTAGAATCCTTTTTGTATATTGTTGGATTCGATATGCTAAAATTCTGTTAAGAATTTTTGCATCTGTGTTCATGAGGAATATTGGTTTGTATTTTTCTTTTCATGTAAAATGTCTTTTTCTGGTTTTGGTATCAGTGTAATGCTGATCTATCTATCTATCTATCTGTCTTTCTTTCTGTCTATCTATCTATTTATCTATCTATCTATTTATCTATCTATGATAGAGTATGTGCACAGGCACAAGCCCATGCGGTGGGGGAGGGGGTAGAGGGAGAGGGAGAGGGACAAGCAGATTCCATGCTGAGTGTGGGGCCTAACTCGGGGCTCGATCTCATGACCCTGAGATTCGACTTGAGCTGAAATTAAGAGTCAGAAATTCAGCCAACTGAGCCACCCAGGTGCCCCATGCTGACCTCTTAAACTAGGTTGGGAAGCATTCCTTTCTTCTCAATTTTCCAGTAGAGTTTATGTAGAATTCATATGATTTTTCGTAAATATTTGGTAGATTTGACCAGCAGAGCCATGTGGACCTGGAGTTTTCTTTGTGGAAAGGTTTTCATTTTTTCCTTTTAAATAGACTTATTTATTTATTTATTTATTTTAAAGATTTTATTTATTTATTTGACAGAGAAAGACATAGCGAGAGAGGGAACACAAACGGGGAGTGGGAGAGGGAGAAGCAGACTCCCTGCCGAGCAGGGAGCCCGATGCGGGACTCGATTCCGGGACTCCAGGATCATGACCTGAGCCGAAGGCAGTCGCTTAACCAACTGAGCCACCCAGGCGCCCTATTTTTTTTTTTTTTAAAGATTTTATTTATTTATTTGACAGAGAGAGACACAGTGAGAGAGGGAACACAAGCAGGGGGAGTGGGAGAGGGAGAAGCAGGTTTCCTGCCAAGCAGGGAGCCCGACATGGGGCTCGATCCCAGCACCCTGGGATCATGACCTGAGCCGAAGGTAGACGCTTAACGACTGAGCCACCCAGGCGCCCCTAAATAGACTGTTTTATAGAGCAGTTTTAGGTTCACAGAAAACTGAAGCAGAAAGTACAAAAAGTTCCCACGTATTCCCTGCCCCCACATGCACAGCCTCCCACACTATCAACATCCCCATCAGAGTGGTACATTTGTTACAATTCATGATTGTAAACGTGTAAAAAAAAAAAAGATGAATCATTTTTACCCAAAGCCCATAGTTTACGTTAGGGTTCATTCTTGGAGTTGTATAGGTTTTGACAAATGCACAATGACATGTATCCACCATTATAGTATCATACACACTTGTTTCACTGCTCTGAAAATGCTCTGTGCTACACCCGTCCATCCCTCCCTCTCCCCCAACCTCTGGCAGTTACTGGTCTTTTTAGTGTCTCCATAGCTTTGCGTTTTCCAGTATGTCATGGAGTTGGAATCAGAC